GCATAATCAAGAGTGATCCCTAAGAGTGATGGGGGCTAGTATAGTGCCCAGCATAAGTTAGAGCAGCTTTAGGGTTGCTTTAAGCTGCAATGGCACGTAATAGCCTCCAAAGGGACAATAGCTGTGTATTCTCAGAATACGCTTCCCTCAGATACAATCCCGCTATATTGGAGGTATAGTGACTGACTGTGCTGACTTTATGCTCCTTAAGGATTTTTCCATAGTTGAGAAGTCCTTAGCTATCCAATTTGGGTAGCTTTACAATACTTTTGTGCTGGAAAAGTAAAAAAAAGTTTCTCAGAAGGCACAACCTTGCTCATTTCCAATTCAAATGCTGAATTGGAAAACGTGGACTCACTATAATTTAAGTAAGCATGATGGACACATGACAATAAAATGAGATCTTTCAGTTCTCTGACCACAGTTATAGAAGCACTGGTCATGATACCATACTTAAGGATAAGTTCCATTTTGCACTTAAATGCAGAGATTCAACTTCTATTTTATTAAGAAAAATACACTCTATCCTTCCCAAATTTATAGTACTTTAAGTACAAAATGAATTTTCTGAGAATTTACAAGTAAAACTGTTAGTTTATGAATTAAAAACTGATTTAAAAAATTTAGTATCTTTGCCAGTCTTTTCTTTGCGCCAAAGTATCTTAACAATAGAACAACAGACATTTCACATTTTCCATATAGTTAAAATTAATTGAAATATTGAGCATATGTTATATTTGAAGAAATTAGGTTATAATTAAGAAATTAATAATGACTGGTATCAATTTGTACGATTATATAGCCTACAGAGAGGCTCATATAATTCTTGCATTTGCCTTTCTAGCATCAGAGGTAACTCAACCAATCACGACCCTTTCCTCTGCAATTAATTTGCATGAAAATAATCTGTTGGTTGTAACAACTCAGCGGTATGAGAGAGACTGATCGCATGCACCAGAGTTCTGAGTGACAGATTAATGTCCAACTGTCACTTCTCAGTGCTTGAAAAGTTTCCCATGGCACTTTTATCTTGGCTCCACTGCAGACTGCGGTGACACTTGTAACACTTGCCTCATGGAACCCAGAATAAGTCACTGTGTCATTTCTCCACCTTAGCAAGAGAAAGCATTGCTGGAGCTTAAACTATATGACAGCTCCCTAATACACCAGTCCATCTACCTTACCAGCAATCTCCTCAAGACTCTGTCTATCTAAACTTTACCTTGTAGGTAACATTCAGTGAACTCTAGTTCTCAAGCTCCCCTGAGACATCTCTCTATAATATCCAGTCCCTCTCACTGGACACTCACGGAAATTAAGTCCACTGCATCCAAAAATACAGTACACACACACACTGGCCTGTTAGCCCAGCTGAGGACACACATTTTGCATTAATACACAGTACTGAGATACTTTATAGTAAAACTAAGAATAAGTATATTAATAAAGAACATAGATTTAAGTGATACTAAGCAAGAGAAAAAGAGAGACAGGTATAGTTACCAAAAAAACCCAAAAACAAAAAACAAAAACCCACCCACACATTGTCTAGTGTCAAACTTTAGCAAGTGCAATTTTTCCCTAAGCAGCTTCTCACTTACATCAAGCTATGAGCATGTCCAGCCCTTCAGGCAGTAGGATCCACCATTGACAGAATCAGCAGGTGCTGATTTCTTTGTCCTCTGGATAACGGATAACAGGAGAGTCCCTTTTCTTCAAAGTACAGAAACCCCTTGAAATGTATTCTTTGAAAAGTAACTCTAGACAAAATTCCACTCCCCTGCTGCTTGTTCAGGCATCAAGTCCCTCTCTCATCCTCAGGTCAGTTTGTTTTTTTCAATTGGCTTAACTACTTTGTTTACTCTAGATGTAAATGTTCTTTCATTGTCCTTCGCTTGTAATCAAGTCAGGCAGACAAATCTACATTCCTTTGTCAAGGACAGGCTTGTTTATCAACTGCTTCCAAAACATATCTCCAGCAAACATACATAACTTTATTCACAACATGTACATACATCACACAATGATATTTATGATGCCACCAGTTTTTACATGACACCTTACAAGTCACTGTATGGCTAAATATTTTGACAACAGTGTGTTGAGTGTGCCCTTTGCAAGTTGACATAAGTAGCTCTTAGGTTCACAACACTGGCAGGTAAAACTGAGGCAGGAGCACTACAGTGATATAATTAAGGGAAAATATGATAAAAATCGAATGCATCTTTAAAAGTCAATTTATTTTAATCAGGAATCTAAAATATTTAAAATGGCTTAATCGTAATCACATGATTATTGCATGGCATCACTACAGTGCAGAATTAAGCTTGTTTCAGTGCTTTAACTGCATTTCTTACCTCAATATGTTTGGATTTCTTTTAACTGTACCATTAGCTCTCAATTTTTGGGGTTTATGCAGGTTGGTTCTGAAATAATTGCAAAATCCCTGTAATATTTTTAGCCTTCATTTAATATGTACTCATAATCAATTCCATTTTAAGGTAGTTTTTCATCTAGAAATCAACAATAAAGTGTTTATTACATTGCAGATGGATTCTTTCCACAACTAAAATTCCTTCAAAAATATTGATTCTTTAACTTCAAAAGAGTTGTCAAAATATAAAAATCTATGTGAGATTATTGATTAGTATTATAATAGCACAATATTGCCTCTAAATTGAGAATGGTTTAGTTTTGCACTTGAAAGATTCCTCCCTTTTTGTTTGTACAAAGAACAGAGTGCATCCTCCCTAAATTTACAGCACATAAGCTGTGGGCAAAGCCTGACTTTTTCTGAGATTTTCAAGCAGATTGTTTAATAATTAAACAACTAAAAACAGGACAACATAGGATAAAAGGAAAAATAAGATGTTTAAAAATGTTTTCTCCTGTGTCTCTCACCTTTTTTAGATTCTTTTTGTTATCAGCTGACTGGTTCCTTTTCCTGTACACTTTCCATATAATTAAAATTCATCGTGATGAATATATATTTGAAGAAATCAGGGTTGCAATTAACTACCATTTTTTCCTCCAACTTTCCCACTAAATTAACCAGTTTCCTCTACCCAAAATGGCTGCCTTTTGCTCCACATCACCAATTTTGGGGATCTGGAAGCAATTTTTCCCTCCAAGAAAGATTGACAAGATGTCTGGTGAGTTGCTTTGCCTTCATTGCAGTTCCCTGGTGGCCCAGTTGTAGACTAATAAAGAATAAAAAAAGATAGCCGTTTTAAAGTACTAAATTTGATAAACTGAGTTCATAATAGTAACTTCTGACTATTATCCAGTGCAGGTCAGAGGCTCAAAGGCACCAGCTCCCAGGGTAAACGTGAGTAAGAACCTATGTGGTAACTCATGGACCCTATTAGCTTCTAGGAACAAAAAGGAAACCTTAATTGGGAGCAGTACACCTCTTATGTGTACTGTCATTCCTCATATGAAGGACAGAGGATTAAGAGATAGGCAAATCCTAGCAGTTAGGGGCATACTCTGAATGCTGCTAATATGGCATTGTTATTATTAATAATAATTTGTATTACATATGGGCTTTTAATAGCACACTGAACCCAAATAAATATCTGATATTTAGGATCATGAAAAGGTGGGGGAGGAGCTGGCTTAAAGTTAAAATGTTAATAAAGTTGTGGAATGCCATTTTAAATCCATCCCTGAGACTGCTGAGTGTCATAATTGAAGACCATTTTTTCCCGTTGGTATTTTTCCAAATTGGCAGTAGTGTATGATTTTGGCATTGTAGGTGGGAGTAATAAAAGAAATATTTCCCAATAAGTTTTACTGTAAAATATTTATACACTTTCACATTTAGGAAAATGTTACAGAATATAAACATCAGCAAGCTAAAGTTAGAATTTAGACACACACTCATCTCACCAGCTAGAACTCCAGCAATGCTCATATGTGCACACGAAATCACAAGGGAAGACCTCACAGAATCCCTCAATACTTACTTTTTAATGTAAATTTCTGAATGTAATAATGGGAGCAAACCATACTAACTGTTCTACAAGTAAATTAAGTGATATCCAGCAGTGGTTATGATCAGAATCATCTGACAGAATTATTTTAATGACATGATAAAATTTTGTTGAATGAAGGGCAGTGGATAATGGGATGATTTTTATCTAGATCTCACTAAGACATTCAATAAACTAATGCACTAGAAATTTAAATAAAATTAGAATTTTGAGTCAGTCCTATAAAACCAAGACACACAGAAAACCAGTTTAGAATACTATACTACCATATGGAAGTTAAGGTCTAGTGTATGGAAGTTGCAAATAAATCATATAGTCCATGAGGCAGAATAAATGGAGAGAGCAAATATAAAACAAGAGAGATAATGACTCCATTGTATAAAGCTTAATGAGATCACATTTGCAAAATGCAATATCATACCCACATTTGTTCACTTAAGAAAGAATACCTTAACAGTTTGAATCAAGTACAAAAAAAGCAGCAAGACTAATTTATGGGTATGGAGGAAGAGTTGTATGAAGAAAGGCATATCAAATTGACAAAATTCAGTCTCTGGAGAGAAAAAAAGGGTAACTTCATTATAGTAGGTACTTACGGTACCTAAAGGGGACACCCAAAGGGACAGAGAAAGTAGTCTTTTTACATGCTGAGAATAAGGACATGACCCAGGAAATACTTAAGGCAAAACACCATCACAGGATCTACCTACTAAGAAGAAGGGATTTTCATCAAAAACCAAATGAACGGACTTGGCTCATCTTTAATCCTTACCATCCATGCTTTTCTCTGTTGGTGTTTCTAACTTTAAAAAATGTTCAAACTAATTGCATGTATGTTCTACAACTGAAGGCATCTTCTATTAAAAACAGTCTTAAAATATCATCAGTAGAAATAATATGCATATCAATAACTCATTCTCCCATAAAACACAGTTGGTCCTCTACCTATTAGCAGTACCTGTGTGTAAATATGATATTCTGGCTAATGGTTGCACATTTAGCAATACTAATATATCTCACAAACATGGAAAAAGATATGTACAAAAAATTTAAGCTAGTGTGACAGTTACTGAAAACATATCTCTGATGACAAATACCTTTGACAAATCCCTGAAGTTGCTAGGAAGCGTAAGGTCCAACTCCTCTGATTCATAGTTAGTGATAACCCAGGGGAATACGGGATACTGATTTAAGTCATTGTAAGTACGTCCTGGTGAAAACCAAAACAACACTTTATTTAAAGGCAATAGTTAAACAAAATACTGACCCTGGAGATATGATTTATTATATCATTTGATAACCACCACAAGAAATGCTTTTTTATTATAAATCTTTTACAATTGCAATGTCTGAATTTTCTTTGTTGAAAAGGATATGAAAAAGTTTTATTGGATTGCCAGTATTCCATTTTAAATATTGCAGTCCATTCAACTTTAATTGTCAACTCTCTTGCACGCTATAAAAAGTGACAGTTAAATGCATTCAGTTTTATATATATTTTTATTTTTTGTACAGATCTATAATCTAATCTTCTAGGCCTCTCTAAACTGAACTGACTATAGGAATAGAAAAGGCCAATGACCTTTGTGCATAGAAATAAAGTGGCAGATTCTCCATCCCAGCTGTGCAACACTTGGGTGCACTGGAGAAGGGAGAGGTGCAGATCTTAGATTTTGAGCTGCATGACACTGGCACAAGTTAAAGTCACATCCACCAACTGTCTGTCATCAGAAAATTCACATGCATAAAGGGAATTCTCCACTAACCATATGAACACTTAAAAACTTAGACTGGAAAATGTGGTCTGAAGTATTTACGTTTCATTTCTACATTTGGGCTTAATTTAGTCTATCAGTTGGACTAAACTGGTGAAAACAAAATATGCTACCAAAATTGTTTCTAGTTCTCATTTTGATGGATACATTGCAAAGTTTTAGATATGTTATTATGTTTATATATCATGAAATTATAGTCTTTGCTTTTCATTGAATCCTAAAATTTAGATAATTCAAACCATCTTCCTGCCAGTGCAGGATTATTTCCAACAACACATTTTTTAGTGTTTTGTCCAGTTTTCTTTTAAAAGTCTCAAGTGACAGTTTCCACCACTTTCCCAGGGTGACTATTTCACAGCCTAATCTATCTCATTGCCAGGAAATGGTTCCTAATACTCAGCCTAAATTTTCTTATCTTGGTTTTATCCCATTACCCCTAACAAGAACACAAACACACCACATTACATATTTTTCCTAATGAAATTTACACATTTATATATTTATATAGCTCTTACTATTTCCTTATTAATCATTCCCTTCAAAGTCCCCTGAAAATTATTTTTGTTCTTCTATAAACTCTCTCAACTTCGTTAATCTCTTTCTTGCAGAGTGGGATGCTTCACACAGTACCACCTCCTGGCTGCCTCGGGAAGAAGTAGGTTTACATTGGTCAGGATACTGGAGCTTCCAGAGCCCATTCTTATCGACAGGCATAGCCCAAGTCCATAGCCAAGCTCCAGATTCAGGCCTTTTGAAATGCCACCTTGCCTGATGGGTGTAGGTGTGTGCGTAATAAAGGTAAAGAGAGTCTTGCTACCCCAAACATGAATAATTTAGCCTTCCCTTTGTTCCATAACATTATCATTTTTACTCCTTCTAGTTTAAACAACAGGTACCACTACCTCACTTTGCTCTCTCGATATTGCATTACAAACCCTTTCCTCAGCAGTAACGATTTTGGCCCATGAAATCATTCACTGGATGCACAAAATTTGTGTCATGGATCCCAAGCTAGTTTGCCTCAGGAAAGAGTTCAACTCATCTCATTTGGATGGCAAGCTTGCAATTAAATCACCTCAATCATCTTATTTATAAAAGCTGCCAGCATCTTGGCATCTGTGAGGCAACGATTAATTATGGCCAGATTGATTTATGAAATGTAGGTGTTCAGGTGTTTATTCCTAGCCATCATTTCCGTATTATCTAGAGCTATGCTAGCAGGTCTTTCAGTGTAGTCTAAGCCACATATAATGGTGAGGGAATTGAGGGGTTTCATAATGCTTTGAGAGCAAGATATTTGGGAAAATAATATTCCACACAGCTGTCCCAGCCTGTGTTCTTCTAATGATGTGCTGTTCTTTTATCCCCGACAACTTACTTCAGCATAGTGTCTTGCATTAAGGCCTCGCTGGAATCTACTGGAATGGGATATACTAAATGAAGCATACACTAAGCATAGCTAAGCAGGATTTCAGACACTAGAGCAGGGGTTAGATCAGCTCCCTGATTGAGGAATAAATCAACTGTGGGAGGAGATGATTGGCCTCCCAACACTGCCGTGGTTGTGAACTTGGCAAACCCTTTCCATATAACAATGACATTTATTGCCCATGGGAACATTCAGTCTCTCCAACTGAGGTTCATGATTCATCAGCAAACATGAGATTGCAGTCATGTTTAGACTTTGGGATTAGGTGAGCCTGTTTTGTCATAGGTAGAGCTAGATAGTTTTGTGAGTATTGAAAAGAGAATGGTAACAGCAAAGAGGCCACTATCTCCTCTCTGCCTTTCCACTACTGCCAGGACCTTCTGCACTTTGGGCTACTCTGTTCAAGTTCAGTTCAATGTAAACTTTTCTTCCTCTGATTATAAAGAAAATGCATTTTAGGGGAACCTGGATTAACACTGAAATATTGTAATTTGAAAAAAGTATTATATATAAACTGCTTGGGAAAGGCCTAATTTTAGAAAGTTTACACAAAGGAGTGAATCTAACACTGAGTCATTATCCTCATGTCCTGAAGAGATTGTGCTACCAGTAACTGATCCACTAATATTTTCCTTTCTGAAGCAGATAATTGAAGGAGTTTACATTACCTGCTATGGTGTTTAGAAACATCAGATATTCAAAGTTTGAAATTTCTCTGTGCTGCCACCGCTGGGTCATATTGGAAGCTTTGAAAATCTGGCGTGGACTGGCCAAAGAAATGCGTCTGGAAAACAAAATCATTACGGTGAGAAAATAATATGAAACCTTTTAAAAAGACTTGAAGCCTTTCTTTTGTACCTATCTACTTTTACTGCAAAACAGAGGAACGCTCTTTTTACTTCTGGATTTCATAGCTGTGAAACTTTGGAGAAGAATCATATAGAAATATGAATATTTGAGTGCCTAAAATCTTCTTATGGGAAGAATAAATTGTTATATCATATATATAGCATATAGACTATTGTTAATATTTTAGTTTATGATTACTAAATGAGAACAGGCTTGGGGCTTGTCTACATGGCATGTTAAAGGACGCCAGAAGGATATGATTTGTAAAACATTCTAATGTTAACATGAACTAGGTACCTTTTGGAGTACGCCAGCAATCACAGCACAACATGTTAGAGCACTTTACAAATCCGACCCTTCTAATGCACTTTGCAAGGCAATTCTCCCTATAATGAAACTAGACTTTAAATCACATGTAATTTACATCGAAAAATGGAATAACATGTAACTGTAGGCATGTTTTATCTTAATGGTTAAAGTGCTATGCTAGATTTGGTTGGTGAAGGTCCAGTTGCTATTTTGGAGATTTCTAAAGTTTATTTTCATGGTTTTATAACCTAATGAGAACAAAGGACTAAAAATCATTTGACAGCTGGATATTTTCATGTGCCATGATCTGAATTCTTGTGAACATTAAACACACACCTCTATAGTTGGGCAAGCTCAACCAATCCAAGAAGCTGAAATGTGTTACATCTACATGATTTATAGAGATGGTAGATTATTAAATAAGAAAATTATTATATGGCATTTAAAAATTTCACCTTAGAATAAAGCCATCTTTTGGTGCCTGTTTCTAAGTCCCTTGAGAATAAAAGACAACAATCGGATGAAGAAAGGACTTTTAGTATAAAATCCACTCTCTTGAGATTTAAATGCTGAGCAACTTTGGGGATTTAGCCATAAATAACTCAAGCAATTAAACTATTGGAGTTTGATGCCAGATTTCTTGAAGTTTGAGAAAGAATATAAAACTATTCCCTGGAAATTATAAATCAAGCAGAAAAGGGTTGATTCCAAAATTTCATAAAAGACTATTCTATTCATAATAAAAACATCTGTAAACTCCAGCAGCACATTATTTAAGAGGAATCTAGAATAAGCCTTTACCAGTACCTGTTAAACAGAATAACCGTGGCTCATGTATTTGTTTGTGCTACTGATAAAACATATAAATTGTAAAAGTTTATCAATAATTGTTATAGTAAAATTATTAAATTAAATTACAACTGCATATGCACTAATTGTACCTTTAAAGTGTACACATTAAATTCAATTTTCAAGCAGTAAAAACCAAATTCTTAATGAAATATCACAATTTAGTTTTTAATTTACCTTAAAGCATGATTGTGTAACAGTTGTTACTGTTACAGATTAGGTTTAAGATATGGAGGACCTTTTCTGATCACTGTGAAAACCATGTCCAAAATATTTAACATCACTTAATTTTTCCCATTCATACACGAAACAAAACAAAAAACTACAGCATTCACAAATGTGAAGAACAGTGATACAATTAACTCAATATTGCCATTTCTTAAGAAAATTCTTAGAAATCCATTTTTTTTTTTAAGTTTTGAAAGTGAGGAAGCAAAATAATTATGACTAAATACACCTGTAAGCAGACAATGGAACCACTTACATGGGACCTAATCCAATTCCCATGTACGTGAATGTACTTGAATGGACATGGGATTGGGCCCCTTTGTTTCATTCAGAACATTCTTGATAATCCAGGCCTAGCCCCTTCTAAAAAGACTCAATCAATTGGGACAAATTCTGGAGCAGTTTTAGGATGCAGACAAATAGCCTGAGATCGCCAAATTCACTTCACCCAAGGTCAAGTTTGAACTTTGGCCTCCAGAGTTGAAAGGCAAATGCATCAAATGACTACCTCAGTCTTTCTTCAACTCATACACTTCTATACAGGTGTACAGTTTCCTACTGATGAGAAACTGCCATTTTCAGCTAGGCTGAAGTGTTGTGGAGAGTTGAAGGATGTCTCAGTCAACCTAATATAATTGAAAAGTGCCACAAAAGCTAATCAATCCTCCAACCAGACTCCTACATTTCAGAGAGCTGACAAGCATAAAGGAATGTAACTCCTTAAACAGGGAAAGTGACTATGTCTTAGCCAGTAAGAGGGCAACTTTCTCCATAACGTGACAGAAATCCAAAACCCTCAAAACTCAATCTCTCTGTTCATATGATTATGTAATAAAGATGAGCTCTGCTCTGCCTTTGAAATTCTGCAGTACAACTAAACAAAGAATTTCGTACAGCGGGTGGGTTGTTTTGTGTTTTTAAACCATTTAGTTTAAAAAAGGAAGATAATTCAGAAAAATCATACTGTAGCTTATATCTTTCATAGTAAAATACCTGGTCTGTGGTAGCCCAAAGCTAGTGCCAATGCCAACACGTGGTAGACAATTAACCACTTTTTTTACTGTTGCTGGGTCTGGGAAGTTGAACATGATAGCAACTGTGAACAAATAGAACAGTTAGAACATGACATTATTTCCTGTCATTTATAGTAGGCTTCCTACTTGAATTCAGGTGTATCAGATATAGCATTAAATATATTTTCCCAAAATATACTGTAAGTCAAATTTTTTATACATCATGAGTTATTTCTTTTTAAAACTGCATTTTTAAAGCTACTTCTAGTTGTAAACACTAGCAGAAGTTTCAGCAAATGTTGTCTTATTAGCATTAACACCGCATACATTACCTATAGCAATTTTTATTTGAATATAATAAAAATTAAAGTTATGTTTATTCATCTCTATTTCCAGATTCAGCTTGGCAAAAGAAAAAGCATACACAGTTTGTATAGTAAGTGCATCATACGCAACTGTGACTTCTGCTGGGAATTTTTATTTTTTTAAGCTATTTTTCACTTAAGTGGAATTAGCAGAGAAATATTTAAGATTTTCAACAGGCATTCATTCTTTTTTTATGATTTTATGAAAATATGCTAATGAGTGTGAATATAATACAACTGGAATATGCTTCATGCAAAAGGTCTCTTGTAAGGTATCATTACAAAGCTTATAATCTACTGAGTGTGGTCATCCTGTCTGCCTGTCTGTCTCATTCTTGTATCTGAAACTAGAAATATGAAATCTAACTCTGCGGGCCTATTGTAATTAT